AGATAATTGTCTGTCAACAAAGTATTTATTAGGATGAGGTTGACACAGGCAATGATATGGCCCAAAATAGGCTAAGTTTTTAGCACGATGGTTATGACAGTTAGAATTAAGCTTGTTTTGGTATCAATGTTCGTTGTGCATAATATGGCCAGTAGCCCAATCCTGGGACCCCCATCTGGGGCCTGGGGCTGTCTTCAGCAAACTCGTAACAGCGACAGTAACCGCCAGACAGACATGCGCTTGACGTCTAAAAATGGGTCCAAGGAGCCGGGATTTACTGCCCGGGACCCGGATCCCATCAGCCAGGATTTTGTTGTGGTGTTCGGGCGCATGCGCACCACTAGACCTCTACGACTCGAGCGCTTCATTAAAACACGGCTGTCCTAAGCCGCACCCAGTCGCTTTGGCTAGCCCCGGACTTGCGCAACTAAGAGCGAAATAACTCCTGAAGTCAACGACGCGGACGCCCACACAACACTCGCGTTCGAGCCCCGTCTTAATTTTCAGAACGATTTAAACAATTTGGACCCTGACCTTGGTCTATGGGCGCTATTGTGACAACCGCAGTCGCTGACATAGCATGAGAGCGTGTGTGGCGACGAGCACCGCACATCTTTTGAGCGACCGAGTCGTCTTGGCGCGTACCCTAGGCGCTCTTTTTCGCATCGTAGCCCCAATGGCCCCTGCCGGACCGCTTCGACTTCGCCTTCACCAAGTTCCGGAATTTGGCGGGCGGGGAGCACGTGGGGTTCAACAACGCCGTGTTCCTGTCGGAGAGACAGGCGGCCGACCGCAACTTCGCCCTGGCCTACTTCATGCGCGAGAACGACTGCTTCCCCACCGCCTGCAGCATGGAAGATACTCTGGACTTCTACTTCCAGGTCAGCGGGGGCGGGAGGGGGCGGGGGAGGGGGGGGGGGGTGCTGGATGGGGAGAGGAGCTAGGAGGCGAAGGGACCGAAAGAGACCGGTAGGTGCCCGGGATGTCCAGAGCGTCGGTTGAGCAAGCGAGGACGGGGAGAAGAGGTAACGTAAACAACCTGGTAGATGCCTTGGTATTCCATGTCGTTGCAACAGGTAGTGCGTACGACTTAAGCATTGATGCCCAGCCCTTGGGAATTTGAAAGCACTGTGAAGTTATGCCTGTCATGCGTGCCTTTCATATAGCGTACCATTACCTGACGGTCTCAAGTTTTGTTATCTATTTCGATATTTACAACCGTGTTTATGCGACGGGGCCAGCAAAAGAAGCCCCCCGGCCTTAGATAGACCGACAACTATATTGTAAAAATCGACCAACCACGCTGATCGTCAACAGGGTGAGAAGTGGGAGGAGCTTACTCATAAAAGTGCCCACTCCAATGCGGCAATTGATTGGATCCTGTTATACTCTCGAGTCTATTTCAGACTGGCCATCGCCGCGTATCGGCAGCCCCGATGAATGCTGCTGACTATCGGTGTGGTTTGGCAAGCATCGCGCACTGCTGTCAGCTGTGCTCAGTGTCAGCGGCTCCGCTAGTTAAAGCTGACTACTGTTACACTTTGCTTCCTTTAACTAGCGCTAGCGCTACTGGCCGCCACGCACTGTCGAAAGCTTTCCTGACCACCGCTCACCGCCACCAGCTCTGCTGACCACCCTCCGCTGTCGGCAGCTGTGCTGACTGTCCTTCACTGTCGCCAGCTCTGCTAACCGTCCGTCACTGTCGCCAGCCCTGCTGACCGTCCCGCGCTATCGCCAGCTGTGTTAACCGTTCTTCACTGTCGTCAGCTCTGCTGACAGTTCTTCACTGTCGGCAGTTCTGACGACCGTCTTTCACTGTTGCCGGCTCTGCTGACCGTACTTCACTGTCGCCAGGTCTACTGACCGTCCTTCACTGTCGCCAGTTCTGTTGACCGTCCTTTACTGTCACCAGTTCTGCCGATCGCCCGTCACTGTCGCTTACTCTGCTGAACGTCCTTCACTGTCGGCAGCTGTGCTCGCTGGAGGCCACCTGTGAGTCGGCGGCGGTGATGGCCGCCACGCTGGCCAACGGCGGTATCTGCCCGCTTACCGAGGAGCCGGTGCTGGACCCGGCGGCGGTTCGCAACACACTCTGCCTCATGTTCAGCTGCGGCATGTACGACTACAGCGGTCAGTTCGCATTCAAGGTGAGACCGCAGCGGACCACTCGTCCTTGAACTGATGTCACAGTAGGCAGTTCGAGTTCAAGGTGAGACAGCTCGTCTCCCATGTGAGATTGCGACCGTCAGGCGACGGTCAGTTGACCTTCAAGGTGAGACCACATCGGCCAGCTTGTCCCTAAAGTAGTGCTACACTGGACAGCTCGAGTTCAAGGTAAGGCTACAGAGGGCATTTCGCTTTCAGAGCGACAATGCAGCACTGCAGGCAATACAGGCATACGGGCAATACAGACGGCACGGACATTTCGCTTTCGGAATGATGCTGCAGCAACGGGGATTTCGTTTCGATTGGTCATCAGAGCAGACATCTGAGGCGAGATCTCAGCGGAAAGTCTGCCTTCCAGATTACAGTGTACAATTCATGTTCTAGGCGAAAGTACAGTGGAAAGTGTGTGTTCTTGGTGAGACTACAACTAATGCCCCGCCGCTGACGTGAGATTATAGCGGACAGCTGGCCTTCACACTTCAATGACCGTTGATCTGTCCACGCAGACCCCCGGTTACCAGCAGTATCCTCTGATGTCTAATGGAGGCCTCTGGTAACCTCCAGTGACCTCCCGTTGCTTTAAGTGACCTTCAATGTCTCCCGGCTACCCCCGATGACTTCCGATAAATCTCGATGACCCCTCCTGGCCAGTGGTGACCTCTGATGACCCCCGGTGGCCTGTCACCAGTGTGGAGTACCGGCCAAGTCGGGCATCTCTGGAGTGGTGCTGGTTGTGGTGCCCAATGTGATGGGCATCGCACTCTATTCGCCTCCTCTGGACGCCTCGGGCAACTCGGTTCGTGGCGTGCGCTTCTGCAAGGTATGCCGACGCTAGCGTCACCTATAACACCGGCTCTAGATTTATTTCTCAAAGATGACCAAAGATGACGCCCAGGCTGCAGCTATCGAATGTGCGGGAGGTGCGGCCCCATCATCATAATTCATAAGAACAGCAGTTTGAGCAATACTAAACTTTTGTTAAGCCATCTTGAGTGTCCATTTTCAGTGCGAATACAATTGCGGGAAACTGTACGAATCGCATTAGATTCGTGTGTCCGAGAGTTTGAATATTTATAGGCAATATTTCCGCATTCAACACAACAATCTGCGGCAGGCTCTTGGTACTAAATAAGCATCACTCAACTATTTAACTGCTACAGCCATTGCTTTGCACTTATAATTAGCCAATGACGCTGTGTTATCCAAATGCTTTCCTGGGGTGGTTCCATTTGCACGAATTCAATATCGCCACCAAAACCTATATTTGGTAAGTTTATTAGTTGTTATCCCCTAGCGGAGTTTGATTATGCGAGTTATTTAGCTGCAGACCTTGTGAGAGAAGGAGTGGGACGCAATTACTAAGCCCATGCAATTTTCAGGAGCTGGTGGAGCATTTCAACTTTCACCAGTTCGACAACGACGCCAGCGATGGGGAGAAGTTGGACCCTCGCACGACGCTGGCCGAGAAGAGGGCAGACTTGGTGCAGAGGCTGATGTTCGCTGCCTCGGCTGGAGACACCACTGCCCTCAGACGTTTCAGGTCGGCGAGCGGGGGTCACCGGGTGGTGTGGTGACGTCATGGCAGGTCGCAGTGTTAACTTGCCGGGTCACAGTTGTTTTGAGGACTTAAGACCAGGGACAGATACCCCACGATGTCTTGACAACTGCAGGCGAGTGAGCTGAGTCAAATTATTGGTTACCCCAGCCAGCTCAGATATACTTGAATATTCGTGTCAAAGCTTTCAGGTGCTTCTGGATGGCTCAAGTGGTCACAGAATGGTGCCTTTAGATTAACTTATGCGGTGGCACAAATGGCGTGTGCCAGCTCATACCACGCCTCAGCGTAATTCAGTTCCGCGGGTCACTGCAATTTGATGTAGAGCGGAGGGATACCTTGCTGTCTTCGGATACGTGGGATCGTCTCAAAAAGTAAAATACTTGCCAACGAGGTCGGTCGTTTCGCATCAAACGAGCAGCAACGGTTGACCTCGGTGACCTGGGTTGACCTCGGTGACCCGGGATGAACTCGAACAAGCCGCAGTGAAATGTGTGAACTCGCCGGATTGACGAACAGCGTAATAGTTGTCCAACCCAGAGACAAATGCTTCGACTCTCTATCGAAGTTTCATCTTATCAGTTGGAAGTCTTCTTTGCCGTAGCAGCTGAGCACAGAAACAAGTGTGAGGCCGGTGGCAGTTATCCACTACATAACGTGGCACGTAACCAGGTCGTATTATGTCTTGGCATTAACACTTTATCCTTAGGCACCTTCAAAAAGGCAAGTGACTTGCATCGTGTTTGCCCACATAGATAGCAAAAACACACGTGCAGGAGATGGACGATGACGTCGTGGGACAAAACGTACGAATTGGTGTGAGAAAGCACTTGTAATGTCATAACATCACTTAACAGACTGTTGGAAACTGGCCTAAACGTGACCGAAGTCGGGCCTGCGAGTCACGGAAGTCGATAGCCCTATCAAGCTCCGTGGACTTGTCAACTCACATCACTGTCTATAAACCTGCAAGACCCATGTACAACGTGGGCGTAATTGACTGAGGTCTGCTGTGGCTGTCTATCAACCGAGAGACCTGCGTTCGATTCCCACCGCAGCAAACTTTCATCGGTTCCACGTACGAGGTTCGTGGCGCCGGTGCTGAGTCCACTATGGAATTACCTTATGACTGGTGCACCGAGTTTTAGCATAAGTCATGCTACCCTTCATAACAATGGCGGCTGAGTATTTTCGTTATAACATTGCTTGTTACTGTAAAGCAAACTACCATCATGACGGTAATCGCAAGGGCCGCTGATATTGCTAACCATTATGATCACCATTGCCAGTGTATCGATCTGAGTTTGTGCTTGTCAGACTGCTGGAGATAGACCTGAGCGTGACTGACTACGACGAGAGAACTGCGCTGCATCTGGCGGCGGCCGAAGGCAGGCTCAAGGCGGTCAAGTTCCTGCTCGACACCTGCCAACAGAAGGTGGACCCCAAGGTAGCGCTGTGGGCCCTGCGCAGTACGTGGTAGCCCCGTCATGGAGTTTGGTTAGGACCCGAGCTATCTGCGGCACGGTTATTATTTTCTTTTTAAGCCATTTTGGTGGGTGTGGAAATCGTCTCCACACGTCTGCACGACACTGCTGGTGACGGATTTGCTTCCATTCAAATAATTTCATGACCCTCGTTGTGGTCAGTTAGCGACCGCTGCACCAAACACCCCTTTGACTTAAGTAATAGCTCTGCACAATTATCACAGCTGCTCTGTGGTAGCTGCAGTACTTATGGGAACACTACACTGGCACATTTCCGGGCATGTGACACAGCAGCTGCGGTGAGAGTGGTGTAACGCACGTCCACTCCGCCTGGAGCGGGATTCCAGTCATCCGGACCTGAGGGAAGGTCAGGCAGGTCGGGGAAGGTCCGACACGTTTCGATCCCGTGATTTAATGGGAAGGGAATGTTCTTAATGGGAAGAACGCCACTTCCAGAATGTTTAATGAGTTTAACAAGAGCATGCCGATGAAACAGAGTTTAACAAAAGCATGCCGATGAAACAGAGTTTAACAAGAGCATGCCAATGAAACATCCCGGACTGGCCGAGGTAACATTTGCTTTATGTGCTGAACATGTTGATGCCATAATTAAGCCTTTCACTGGAAGCAGTCTTTCGAGAGCGTTACACCCCAGCCAGAGGACAAACTGGCGTTTGCATTGCTTACTGCTCTGCCCCTATCACTTATTACTGCTCTGCGGCAAACCGCTTCACATTTACGTCGTCTGTTCGTGTTCGAAGCTTACTGCAACGTCTTGTCATCGCACAGTGATCAGACTGTCTCGCCAGGCCGCTTCAGGCCGAGTGGTGTGGTTCAGGACCGGTGTCGGTGGTGTGGTTCCAGGACCGCTGGGGACGAACGCCTCTGGACGACGCCATCTACAGCGGAAAAACAGAGGTCGTCCGCGTGCTTCTGAAGCGATACAAAAAGCTGAACCTGCCGCACCCGATGCTTACCGCGGCAGCCGGCACTGCGACCGCCGTGGAGTCCCCCCTGAACGTGCTGGTCGCGCTGCAGGAAGCATATCTCCAGCCGCAGCAGACCGGCGGTCCAGGCGGCCGCGAGGGAGAACGCGCCGGTGTCGGCACGGAGAACCGCGCCGGTGACGTCACCAGCTCCGGCATCCACCAATCACAGGCCGATCCTGAGCACCGGGCTGCCTCTGCCATCCTACCAGCGGCAGCGCGCCCCCACCAGCCGACAATCGCAACGGAAATGGGGGTGGAGCGTGCGGCAAAGCACCCCACCGGAGACGTGCCCGACTTGACCCCCCAGCAGGCTCCGTCTGAGCGCCCTGATGACCCGGTGCCGGCGTCCGGGGACACCGGCCGGCTTGTGACCGAGACCGCGGTGGCTACAGACGGCGGTCATTCCCCGAGGGCAGAGCGCTGAGGAGGGCTCAAATAGAGACCATCCGCAAGCGGTGGCGTCACCTCCTGAAGCAGCAGCTTGAGCAACAGATGAGCGGCGTCACCAGCTGAAGCAACAGCTTGAGCAACAGCTGAACGGCGTCACCAGCTGAACATCGTCAAACAGCTGAGCAGCCTCAGCGTAACGGCGAGGGCACCGGATCTGCAGCGCTTTTTTCGTGAACGGAATGTAGCTGGGAACGTGACAGAGAATGTTTTGGAACTTGTGGGAAAACGTTAAGAGTTGTATTACCCTGTGGAAGATACTGGAAATTTTCTGTCCCGAGTTCTGAACTGTTGTGTGCTTGGTCGAAACAATTAGGCAGTTTTTCTTTGAACCTCCCACAGAAGTGAAAGGTGAATGGCACTGGAAGGGGTCTCAGCCCCTTTCCTGAAGGCAACACTCGGCCTGACCTAAGAGAGCTCACCTTTCCGGACCTAAGAGGGCTGCGCCCTTCTTGCCTGTAGATCTGACTGCGTCCGACAAAAGGGATCGCCATGGCTGGACCGCGAGGGTAAGCCCGCGCCTTAGTCGCGGCGTTCTTGAAGAAGAACTTGCTGCTGCTGATCTGTGGACTCGTCAGACCTCTGTGGAAGACAGGTCGGCTGCAGGCACGGCTTCGTAATGTGCACTCGCAATATAATGACGAGCTTGTCATGTCCCCTGCTGCTGGGTAGTCTTAATGTCACATTTCGACGCTTTACGCGGAACACCACCAACTTTCAACATGTGAAAGTGCCTGACTAAACAAGATGTCGAGCAATGACGGCCCAATGAGTCCGTGATTACGAATATGCATGACTACTGATATAGTTCAAAAAATATTTCGTGAAATGGTCATTGCTCATTCTGGGGATTGGTGTTCACAAATTTTCAATAAAGTCGAAATAAGAGAAAGGCATCTAACTTACATCAAGTACGCCTTATTCACTATTCTGTTAGTTGAATCGTCCGACGCAGTCAAATTGAAGCTGTCTGCCTAACAGCCAACATTCCTCCCGGTCTCTGAAATGGACCGAACGGATCCTTGGGCACCGCAAGTGTCCCGCCCGCGGCTTTTAGCAGTCTGAATTTAATGTTCCACCCTTGCGGCCTGATGGAATTGGAGTGCTGTAGACGGGACGTAGAAAAGAATGCCACCATAATGGGCTGATCGGGCGAGTTCACTTTCCGAGTAGGAAGTGTCTTTGGGATGTTAACAATGGGGCCTGACTGGATGAAATCATCAGAGGGAAATAATAAAGACAACCGGCAGTCCGGTTATCTGCCTAGTTTAGGCGAGTCCACCACAGAGGGGCGAAAAAGAAGGTAGGAAAGCTGGCCAGCTGATCATCTGGAAGCATCGGACGAGTCCACAGCAGACGAGCGGAGGGGAATGCTCACCGGCTGATCATTTGGCAAGGATGGGCGAGCCCACTGATGGTGCGTGGGAAGAAAGCATACCAGCTGATCACCAAGCGATGGCGTCCTCCTAAAGCCGTAACTAACACATAAACGCAATGATTGATCTGGTTCATACACGACGTTCGCTTATGGATTCAACGAAATCGGCCGTATATCTCACTGACCACCAGAAGCGTGCTGCAGAGAACTGCGTATAGGCTTCCAGCTGAAGGCAAACCTCGCGATGGAAGCGAGGGATGTACTCGCTTTGTGCAGAGAAAGAGCGAGCAATCACATGTTTATAGTGGCATGTCATGATGTTCAAGTATATGCTGTGCTTGACATAGCTAATGTCGTTATATGTCATGCTTTTTCCGGCGCGGAAGTGAAAATATATGAAGCCTACGGCTGTGCCCACTGCTTGCCTATTCCTTGTACAACCTATACGTTCCGGGAGCTATATTTGATGGATATGTTACACAGACATAATATATTTATACATATATGCATATGCGTACATATATATATATATATATATATATATATTCTATATATATATATATATATATATATGGTGTGTGTTGTGTGTGTGTGTGTGTGTGTGTGTGTGTGGGTGTGGGTGTGGGTGTGGGTGTGGGTGTGGGTGTACATATGCTATATATATTCATATCTGTTTGTATAGAGGTACTACCATCTTCCCGACGTATTGACTTAGTGGTGACAGTTTAACCAATCATACATTAAGCTCGCTCGGAGGAAAATCATCTTGCAAACGGAGGTCATGATTGACGTAGCGTCGGCACAGCTGTGTCGTTCTCGTTGCCCAATGAGATGGAGCGCGTGCTTTTCCTTGGACCCATGCACCTAACAATACACACATCGCGAGTCTTGGCATTTGTGGTCGGTTGCGCGCCGTCTATAGCCAGACTGGATTCGCCGGGCTTACGTGCGGCATACAACACCTTATCCACCTTTCCTATCCTTGACCAGCCTGTGAATGGGGCCTTCGTTTCTTCTATGATCGCTTATGCATAAGCTGGCCTCGCTGCGATTACCTTCCCAACACGCTGGTGAGTGGAATGCAACTTAGTTACTTGCTCAGATTTCGTGCCTCTATAGGAGCTTCGTCTCCGCTATTATGAGACCCCCGGCTGGTGGCGGGGGTAAACATCATTCAGTTCACCTTCACCGTCATGCCATTGAGCGCGGTCAAAGTTTGAAGCGTGCCGGCCGATAAGTAAATTATATGGGCTGACGGTCACTGAAGTAATTGTCCGTGGATTACGCAGCGGACGTATCAAGCAGAAGACTTCGACAGGTTAGGGACCGACAAAAGTTGCCACATCTAAGGTGAAGACGTTATGCCAGAGTAAAGATGAACATTGAATACTTTATAAGGTGCTCACAAAGCAGATTATTCTAGCAAAAATGCGAGCAAGTTGCCGCCTGCTTCATCTTTCAACGTGCACTATGACATTTCAGCTTCACTTCATCTTGCACTATGCTTGCACGTGAATGAAGACTCGGGACGTGTTGACACTGCGAAGGTACTAATAAACAGCAAATGCTGTGAAAATGCTTTGGTGACATATTTGGGCAGAACATTCTGCATATAAACACCGAATGGCTGACGGTACCGCTGCAGACCAAACTTACCAATCTGCAGCCCACTTTTGCACGCCTGATAACCTCGAGCACGATGTCTGAAGCGTTGAACCAAGCTCGCACAAGTACTAAGGGTACTTTGGACCGTGCATTGCTTACACACTGTATTTCGCAACATTGTTAGCGTCGTCCTCATCCTGCAACGCCATTTTAGGTTTAGTTTCTATCTCCTCAGCGTCGTCATCGCTCAATCACGACCCTTGCCCTTCCACCGTTACGTAATTTATGGACGCGCCCCGCACGCGTAAAATCTGTAGGCGCCGCATCAGCCATTGGTTGGTCCGGAATCTAACCGCGCGGATGTCGTCAGCTACAATTCCCGCCGCGGTGTCGACCTTGCCGGGGGTCACGTGCAGAAGTCATCGTCGTGCCTCCAGCAGCCGGAGTGCGTGACGTCACTGGCTCACAATGAATCGTTGGTGGCACGCCTCTGTGCCCAGAGCTGGGAGGCAAATAGATCTGCCAGCCCAATGAACCTCTTCTACACAATTGATTGGTCACGGATTATTGCGAGACGGTACTAGGTTACGTAACCTAAGGAGCGCTCATGAACAGGTGACCATAGTATTTCATGGATTACACATGAACAGGTGACAATAGTTTTTTCATGGATTACACAGGAACAGGTACCAATAACATTCCATAGAGCGCACGTTAACAGCTGTCGATAGCATTCCATGGAGTACACATGAAAAATGTGAGCACTCATGGACACATGCAGTGGTATATAGGATGATGTCACCCCTCCACGCATTTATTTGCACGAGCGGCAAATGACACCCATTTGAATTCATGACCTGCCGCCCTAATGACCAGCGTCGTTGGAACGCGCCCCCATACTAGTGAGTGCTGAACTTTTTCATTTATACTGAGCCACTTTGGCTAAAAGAAAAACTCAGCACACACACACACACACACACACACACACACACACACACACACACACACACACACACACACACACACACACACACACACACACACACACACACACACACACACACACACACACACACACACACACACACACACACACACACACACACACACACACACACACACACACACACACACACACACACACACACACACACACACACACACCACACACACACACAGAGAGAGAGAGAGAGAGAGAGAGAGATGAGATAGAGAGAGATAGAGAGATATAGAGATAGAGAGATAGAGAGATATAGAGATATATATATAATGTATATATATATATATATATAGATATATATGTATACAGATATATGTAATATACATATATATATATATATATATCGCATTATAGATATATATATATATATATAATATAATATATATATATATATATATATATATATATATATACTAATAAAACACAAATATTTGTGAGACATTTTCACACCGGTATTTTATTTTCAGTAGCACAAATATGTGCTGCTGAAAACAATCTTTACTTAGATGTTTACCAATTGGCCACATATTCGCATTTTTTATTTGCTACCTCGCGCTGTGCTAGGAGCTCCCCATTTAGGTACAATAATTTGCTAGCTTCTGTCTGAATGCAAGAGGATAGGACTACATGTTACCACATCTACACATCTACCGCACCGCATCTGCTAGATTGCTTTGCCACATGCCGCTATTCCCACGAGGAAGCGCTTTGGTAAATAGCATAGCGTTATATGCGAAGGTAATGCGCAAAAAAATGACAAAATTCCTGCAGATTTGATTTGCTGAGCGTTTTTGAAGAATATTTTTCTCTTCATCTCAGGAAACATTCAAGTAGAATATTACATATCCACGAGTTGTCTTTTGGCAACTTTCCAATCATGGCATATGCATGCACTTGGTTTGCCAAGTGTGGGGGGGGGGGAGGCTGAAGAAGGAACCTTTTCTACGGTCGTCAAAACGGTGTTCGTATTGTGGAGCCTTGTCAGTGATATCCCGATGTAAAGGATGCGACAAACAGCCGCGGCCTTGCTCGAACCGCGCCATCATCCAGCAAACCACCGGCGATTATTGAAACGGAGAGTCACGCTCAATAATCAACATAACAGATGAGCCTGCATTGTGTCTCCAGTGCATTGTGCCCTGGGAAGTGGCGCAAGGTAGACGAAGTGGCGCGGTCCGGAGCTGCACCGGCAAGGGGGGACGAGCGTTATGGTCTCAGGTCTCTTATGGTCTCTTATGGACTCAGCGTTATGGTCTCTCTCGTCTTGGACTCTTTCTCTTTATCTCTGTGGACACTTGGTCGCAACATTCCTTGCCTTTGCTCTTTTCTTCGCATGTTATTTCTCATATTCCCATGCTCTCTCCTCTCCCCATGCCTCTCTCCACTCCCCATGCACTTTCCTCTCCCCATGCTCTTCCTCTCCCCATGCTCTCTCTCTCCCATGCTCTCTCCCATTCCTCGCTCTTCCGCGCCTCCACTATCCCCTCCTCCCCTCTCCCCTTTGCCGTGCCGCCCCTCTCTCCCGCGGCGGTGGCATGGCCCCCGCCGGCTGGGGCGACTCAAGGCCGCGGGAGGTTTCTTATGGGCCTGGGTCGGACTCGGTCAGCATCAGTGCCACACAGAACCGGATGCCAACAACTGGTAAGCGCCCGCTGTTGCCTCCGTGGCAGCGCTGCCAACCTCCCTGTGCTGCCCTAG